TTTTTCCAGTAGTCATGTATATATGTGAGAGTTGGACTTAAAGAAAGCTGAGTGCTGAAGAATTGATGCTTTTGAACTGTGGTGTTGGAGAAGACTCTTGAGAGTACTTGGACTGCAAGGAGATCCAACGAGTCCATCCTAAAGGAGACCAGTCCTGGGTGTTCATTGGAAGGATGGATGCTGAAGCTGAAACTCCAATACTTTGGCCACCTCATGCAAACAGTTGACTCATTGGAAAAGACCCTGATGCTGGGAGGAATTGGGGGCAGGAGGAGAAGTGGACGACAGAGGAGGAGATGGCTGGATGGCATCACCGACTCGATGGACATGAGTTTGAGTAAACTCCAGGAGTTTGTGATGGACAGGGAGGCCTGGTGTGCTGTGATTCATGGGGTCGCAAAGAGTCGGACACGATTGAGCGACTGAACTGAACTGAACAAACCCTTGAGAATTGCTGAGGGAAAGATTGGGGGAGAATCAGAAAGATCACTGTGTTGAAAATAGTCATTTACACTATCAAGAAAGTGAAAAGGCAACCCATAGTATGAGAGGAAATATTTCCAAATGATGTATTTGACAAGGTATTTGAATCCAGGATATATTTAAAACAACTTTTTCATCTCAACATAAAAAGAAAAACCACCCAACTTAAAAAAAAATACACGCAAAAATTCAAATGGCCATTTCTCCAAAGAAGATGACAAATGTCCAATAAGTACATGAAAAGATGTTCAGTGTCATAAATCTTTACAGAAATGCAAGTCAACCACAATGAGATACAATTTCGCATCAATTAGGTGACTAAAATTAAAAACAGACAATAACAATTGTTGATAAGGATGTGGAACATCTGGAATACTCATACACTGCTGAGTGGGAATGTAAAACAGAGCAACTACATTGAAGAAGCACTTGACAAAATATTTAAAAGATCATATAACCCAGCAAGTCCATCCCTAGGTATATTTGCAAGGGAACTGAAAATATATATCCACACAAAAGAGCTTGTACATAGATGTTCACAGGAGCATAACTAAAGAGGAGAAATAAATGTTCATTAATTGATTAATAGAATGTGGTATATTCATAACAATAGATTATTGTTTGTCAATAAAAGTAATGAAGTATTGATGCATACACAACATGGAGAGTCCTCAAAAACAGTATGCTATGTGAAAAGTCAATTACAAATGGCCACATATTATATAATTCCATTTTTCAAAAATTTCAGGATATGCAAATCTTAGAGACAAGATGTAAATTCCTGGTTTCCAGAGGCTTAAGAGAGGGGTTTTCTGAGGGTTATTTGGCAGTAATACAAACATTCTAAAATTAGATAGTGGTGATAATTCTACAACTTTGTGACTACACTAAAATCTACTGAATTACACACTTTGTATGTGAAATTTGCCTTAAATAACGACAAAGCTATAATTTTAAAAATAGTCCTTACAATGTTTAAAAAAGGAAAAAAATTATAAATAAAATTATTGATAGTATTGTCATTGGTAGTAGAATCCCAGAAGAAAATATATATCAAAATTGGTGAAGCCCATCCTCTGACCTGGCTTGCCTGGTCGCTCAGCGGCAAAGAATCTGCCTGCCAGTGCAGGAGACAAGGGTTCAGACCTTGGATGGGGAAGATCCCACTGAGAAGGAAATGGAAACCCACTCCAGGATTCTTGCCTGGAGAATCCCATGGACAGAGGAGCCTTGCAGGATACAGTCCATGGGATCACAAAGAGTCAGACACAACTTAGTGACTAAAACCAACAGCAATCCTCTGACCTATTCGCCTCATGATGTATAGGTTCAGCACCGGGGACAGCTCCCTATGTGTGCCATCTTTTCAAAGGTAGCTTACAAAAGGCTACCAAAATCCTGTAAAAGTTTCCTAACAGTGACATTTCTCCTCTGCTTTTCTTCTTTTCAAAACTGCCATATATTATGGCAGTTATGCTTGCCTTTATTTTTACATCTTTGTGAGCAATTGACTAGAATACCAAGGATCAGCTACTTCATGAATCCACTTAGCAAAATATATTGATTGTTATGTGCCAGGCACTCACTCAACATGAGATCTTAGACAAGTCACTTGCCTCTGTTAACTTCTTCTTATCTAACACTTGTGAATAATTACACATGCATGACATACTAAGACAATTTGTGAAATAAATCATAAGACTTGTTTTCAGGAAAGGTGTTTTTATTACTGAATGAATTGTCTTTCCAAGGAAACTGCATCACTCTGAGCAGTCACACACAGGAGCCCCTGTCATTCTGAGAAGCTGGGAGATGGATCTTGAGTACAAATATTTTCAAAAGCAAAGTCTTCCCATTTACATTCCATGATGATTCTTAACCCCCTTTTCTTCGGTTATAAGCCCATCAGCAAGACAGCTATTCTCCTGTGGTGACAGAATTTCATCGGTGTTCTCTTCCTTAGTGGCTTCCCACCTGCCTCTACTCTTCTTTGAGGTTTGATTTAAACATGTTGTGTCATTTCATATCACCCAGCAACATTTATTATACTTATACCATCTTTTTTCCAAATGTATTAATGTGGTTTCTTTTTGGTGTTCCTTTAGAGCCTTTTTAAAAAAAAAAAAAACCCAACCCATAATAATTAATATATGTTGTTGTTCAGTTGCCAAGTCATGTCTGACTCTTCCCAATCAAATGGACTGCAGCACAGCAGGCTTCCCTGTCCTTCACCATCTCCCAGAGCTTGCCCAAGTTTATGTCCATTGCATCGGTGATGCTATCCAACCATCTCATCCTCTGTCATCCCCTTCTCCTCCTGCCTTCAATCTTTCCCAGGATCAGGGTCTTTTCCAGTGAGTTGGCTCTTCTCATGAGGTGGCCAAAGTATTGGAGCTTCAGTTTCAGCATTAGTCCCTCCAGTGAATATTCAGGGTTGATTTCCTCTAAGACTGACTGGTTTGATCTCCTTGCAGTCCAAAGGACTCTCAAGAGTCTTCTCCAACACCACAGTTCAAAAGACTCATTCTTTGGCACTCAGCTTGCTTTATGGCCCAACTCTCACATCCATACATGACTACTGGAAAAACCATAGCTTTGATTAGATGGACCTTTGTCGGCAAAGTAATGTCTCTGTTTTTTAATATGCTGTCTAGGTTGGTCATAGCTTTTCTTCCAAGGAGCAAGCATCTTTTAATTTCATGGCTACAGTCACCATCTGCAGTGATTTTGGAGCTCAAGAAAAGAAAGTCTATCACAGTTTCCATTGTTTCTCCATCTATTTGCCAGGAAGTGATGAGATCAGATGCCATGATCTTAGTTTTCTGAATGTTGAGTTTTAAGCCATCTTTTTCACTCTCCTCTTTCATCAAGAGGCTCTTCAGTTCCTCTTTGCTTTCTGACATAAGGGTGTTATCATCTGCATATCTGAGGTTATTGATATTTCTCTTGGCAATCTTGATTTCAGCTTGTGCTTCATCTAGCCAATTATGTTGAATGTTATGTATACTCCCATTTCCCTTATAACAGTATAATTCCATTTCCCCTTCCATTCTTTGTGCTGTCATTGTTATACATTTCATTTTTGCATAAGCTATGAACCCAATGTGTTTGTTATTTTTGCTTTATATAGTTAATTACTCTCAGAAGAAATTCTAAAATGAAAAATACTTTTGCATTTACCCACATATTTTCCATTTCTTGTACTTCTCATTCCTTTATACAGGTCCAAGTTCCCATCTGGTTTTATTTTTCTTCTATCTAAAGAATGTTCTTTAACATTACTTACACAGTGGTGCTAAACGGTAAAGACTCTCAGCTTTTGTTTGTCTTAATAAGTCTTTACTTCACCTTAAGGTGAAATTTTTAAAGAAGATGTTTGCTGGATACAGAAGTCTATGTTGACAGTATATTTTTTACTCTACAATTTAAAGATGGTGAACTGTAGTCTTCTCCTTTGTATCATTTATGGAATCTGCTCTCATTCTTACCTTTTTCCCTGTACATTATGTGCCTTTTTCCTCTGGCTGATTTTAAGATTTTTCTCTTTATCACTGTGTTTTTAAATTAAATTTGTCAGTTTTTCAGCCATTATTTCTTCATATATCATTTTGTCTCCCTCTCCTGCCAACAGACACTTTTCTGGGACTCTAATTAACATGTAATGAACCACTTGATACTATTCCCAGATCATTGAGACCTTATGTATCTGTTTATGTTTCAGATTGTGTTGTTTGTATTGCTACATCTTCAAGTTCACTGATCTTTTCTTTTCCCATGGCTGAGCTGCAGTTAGTCCCATCCAGTGTATTTTTCCACTTCAGATATCTTTTCATTATTAGAAGTTCCATTTTGTTCTTTATGTCTTCACCATCTCTCCTGACTATATTCCTATTATTTAAAGATCCTTAAACATGTTGAGCATATTTGTAATAGCTATTTCAAAGTCTTTGCACCCTAATTACACCATCTCTGTCATTGCTGGGTCTTTTTCTATTGATTCCTTTTCTTTTTCTGGTTATGGGGTCTTATTTCCTGATTTTTGGCATGTCTAGTAATTTTTTTGGATGTTGAACATTGGGTTGTTAAGTCATTGAGCATCTCTGCTCCCCTATCCTCCTTTAAAAAAATGTTGGTTTTATCCTGAAAGGTTATATAGTTATATAGGTGTAACCTCTGGGTCTCCTGAATAGTCACTTTGGATGCTGGGTGTCTTGAAGGCATAATCTGAAAGATCCATAGCTTGACCTTGATCTGAAAATCCTTGGTAAGAGATTCATAAAATCCTCTCTCTGAGACCAAAGAGTTTCTATGAGGGGATATGGAATTGAGTTTGCCTGCAGTTGCATGGAGGGACCAAATGTGTGGCTGGCTGCTGAGAAACAGAATGCTCCTGTAAAGACAAGCGGCTGTCAGATCATAGATCATTAATCACAAAGTCATTAATTCAGTGATGCTTGATTCTCTGTGTACAGGACTTGACAGGCTTCCGGCCTGCCACATGGATGATGCTCAACTCCCTGCTGAGCTCTCTGTTAGGGTACCATGGCGCTGAAGACTGCATCTTCTCAGGACCATCAGCCTACAAATAGCAACTCTGAGGCACTGGTACGCTTGTTGAAGCAGCTATCCCTCATCACATGTCTTTGCTTATATTCCTGACATTTATAGAAGTTATTACATGGTTTTATGATGAGAGATTCCTTTCCAGGTCATATTTGAAGAAGCTTATCTTGTTTCACTCATTTGAAAATGCTTTTAGTTATAATTTTTCATCACTGTCCTTTGTTCAGCACAATAGCTGTCTTTGAAAATCTCATCATCTGGGGATGATTTAAGAGGAAAGTAAGGGAGATGGCTTGGAACTATTTCAAATCATGTCACCGTATGTATTTACTTCTTCCTGAGCTGGGTAAATAACTATGGGTTTAGCACCAACAGTATCTGTCTTATAAGATGCTTGCTTCTTCCCACTTGGATATTCAACTTGGTGTCTGAGGTTATTAAAATGAAGCTTTAAGTCTGACTACTCTTGTTATTGTGATTTTTACAGCATTCTTCAACACATTTACCCATTCCGTTAGGTCTTGCCAATCATTAGCTTATAGAAACTATTTCCTCTTCTCTCTCTCTGTTTTAAGCCCAACTTACCTTGGTTTAGTTTAGTTGTTTTGTTAACCTATGAAATGTAGGTAAGTTTAATGCCTCCAGCACAGATTGGTCCAGAAATAGATTTAGTGGATATTCACTTACTATGCCAAGCTATCTTTTCTGATATTCACCATGAGGCTCTTCAAAGATTCCCCATTGTTGTTATTTACTTAATGTCTAGGAAGCCACAAATGTGATCTGACCAATGAGAACAACCAGCAGGTTTACCCTGCTGCAGTCCTGGGTTCTCTGCTCTGTCCCCTGGCTCCAGGCTGTATCTTAACAAATATCCTGTAGAAGCAATAAGAAGTGGGAGCGGGGGTTAGGGGAGAACTTCCCTGGAGGCCTAGTGGTTAAGAATCCTCCTGCCAATGCAGGGGACATGGGTTCGATCCCTGGTCTGGGGAGATCCCACATGTTGAGGAAACTGAGCCCTGGTGCTGCAGCTACTGAGCCCCCATTCCACAATGACTGAGCTCATGTGCTGCAACCACTGAAGCCTGTGGGCTCCATAGCCAGTGCTCCGGACATGAAAAGCACCGCAGTGAGAAGCCTGTGTGCTCCCCAACTAGAGGAAGCCCGTATGCAACAACAAAGAGCCTGTGCACTGCAACGGAGACCCGGTCAACCAGAAATAACAAATTATTTAAAAAAAAAGAAGCATAGGGAAAACAATATCTCATTACAGTAAACATTAACCTGTTTACTGTTAGGAATTCTCTGCATGAGGTGCCAGGCAATCAGAGTTGACCTTGGTGCTTAAGCGTAAGTGTGCAGGAGCCAATTTCCACTGCCGGTAAGAATTTACTATCCAGGGCACAAAGAGAACAACAAATTAAGGAAGTCATCATGGAACCTGGAGGAAGCAGACAATGTCAAATTCACCCTTTACAGCATGGAATTCAAGTACCGGAGCCAGAGTACTTTACAGAGCTAGCCAAAGGTTCAGCTGAAAACGCACGTAGGTGAGGTTTAGAGGACAAAGAAGAGGCATAAATCTCGTTCCATCAGAATGCTACAGAAAAGCTCAGGAGCCTTCAGGTCACGTTTCTAAAGCAGCACACGTGTGTCTTCTCAGCTCTTTATCTAGACAGATCAATGGCGACAAACCTGCACAGGAAGGGATTACTCTGGACACCTGTAACTTTTTTCCCTATCTTCCCTCCAACCACTGAGAAAACCGCCTCATGAGGCCAACCTTGTATGATTGTCACCCTAGTCTTTGATACCACCACATTTGTCTTTATTCTCCGAAGAGCTCATTAAAATTTCTATTAGTGAGATGCTAATTGGTTACCAGCCTTAATTACCAGGTGATCTGAATGTGCACCTAAGCTGTGAAAAACTCCACGTGCATTTAATGGTTTGAGACATGCCCTGGTCACACCAAATTCCCAGAAAACGTCAGATCTATGCTGCAGGCACCCAGGCCCCCTATCCAGGTCACAGATGATTGGCTAGAGCCGTGCACGTGGTTCACTGGCCATTGCCAGTTGAGCCAATCAGATTCTACTTCTCAGGCTTTTTTAACTCGTGAGCTAAGATGCAGCTTCCTTCGGTGGCAGAAGCAGCCTTGTGTGCCCAAAGGATGGACAGCGGGAGACAGAGGTGAGAAGGGAAAGAGAATCACTTACAGAGTGAGGCGGGCAATCTGGAGCGATGAGACCATCTCTCCGTGATTCATGAGAGATGCAGCTGGAAACTCTAATTCTTGGCTCTCAGGCCCCAGCCGCCTTCCAGGAGGATTGGCCGTACTTCCTGCCCTGTTGGTCTGTGGGATTCTCCTTATCAAGCTGACTTAAGTGGTTTTCTGTTTTTACCACCAAATGGCTGGAACAGAACCCAGAATATTTTAAGAAACATATTTTTTGCATTTCTGGCAAGACTGACTCTCAGGCAGTATTTCATATTAATCATAAAACAGCAACTGAAGCTCATAAACATGTGTCATTCACACTAAAACCCCACACAGAATTGGAATTCACGGATGTGCTCACATCTCTTCCTTATTACAGACATTGAGCCTGTGCCCTCATTAGCCCGCCATCCACCGGGCCTGTGAAGGCCGAGCACAGCGTGTCTTTTCAGATGCATGAAGACCCTCAGTAACCAAGGCACAAAATGGATATGTCTGGTGGAGAAGAGACCTTATAAGCCATCTGATGCTTAAGAACTCTCTCCTATCCCATTTGCCACCAGAAGTTATCTGCTCTGTGCTGGTGATAAACTTCCAGGCCTTCATTTTTCCTGATTTCAGCCATGCACGCCGAGGGGTGCGTCCTTCAGCTTCTGACTTTGATGAATACCTGAGCTGGGCTCCAGCGTACCTGCCACGGCTTTGTGGATTCAGGCTGCTATGCCCTTGGGCCGTTTGCCACACTAGCCCCACCCTTCCCCGATGCCTCCTACCTGGGACCTGCCTGGCAACTCTGCTGAGCCCGGGCTGGGGTCAGGCCTCTTCCACAGGAGAGGGAACATGGAATGTGTGTTCTCCGGACATCTTAAGGTTCTGTTCGCTCTTAGGAGTTCGTTACCCCAATAAATAATGTTCTTTCATGAGCCATATTTGTTTAAGAACCTGTTTCTCAGTGAACTAGATGTCATTGGTTAATTTTAACCTCACTGTAGATAAAATGTTAGCCATACTTGATCTGACCTCTTATGTCTGTTGTGGCCATTTCATAGGTCACTGACTTGATGCATATGTTGGGGTATCACTAGCTTCAGGAAGCTTCTCTCCCCAGGACTCCATCTAAAAACTTGGTCTCTTCAAGTTTTGGATCAATAAAAAAAGAAGGAAGGAAATCATCACACTATGAGATTCTTTGCTTCTTTAAGAAGGTCAACAGCTGCACATGGCTTTCATTATCAACTAGTGACTTGGAATTTATTTGCTATTAGTGTGAGCACTGGTCAAGTCACGGTGATGTAAGACCCACACTCCTTCCCACAGGAACTTGAAATCCAGAAAAGAGATAAATGTGAAGATTCTTGTTAAGCATAAAGAACTGAAATCAAAAGGAAGTTCTTGCTGATTTCTGCTGAGAGAACATAGAAACCTATGGAAGCCTTCTCAAAAAGCAGCAAATGTAGCTGGGACTGTCTGATGATTGATCCAAGGAGTTCTGCCAAGCAGAGGGTCATGCCTCAGAAGAGAGACCCCAGCCCCCGCGCACCTCTTCAGTCAGGCATCCTGAGCAAGGCACACACTGGACAACTCCACACAGTGGCCTTGGTTGGCGCAATAGCAAAACAAAACAAAAGCAGTGCCCTCTCATTCTGGCAAAACCCCAAACTCCCAGAGAAATAACATCGGGATATGTTGAATCTTGCCTGACACTCATGTTTCAGTATGCGCTATAGACCAGGGCCACATTTGCAAACTCTTTCTGCTTGTCTGCAAGAAAGTGTACACGAACTGAGAGTAAGTGTTTAGAAACTCATCGCAATCTGACCTCAGTGCAACATTTTACTTTTACAAAAGTGCCCATCTGCCAAGAATTGGACATTCAAAAAACGGGTCCATCACCACACTCACCACAGATAGCTTTACAAGCACTGCTCTGCCACAATGTTCAAAGGGAAAAGGGCACTTTACTTCCTGCTTTAAAGAGAGAATCATGCGACATTTCCTCTTCCTGTTCAGTGCATGGAGGGTCTTCAGCGTGCTTGCATGAAGCCAGGGACTCAGGAGGGACAACCAAAAACGCAACTAATAACACAACTGGTCTCACAAGCAGACTGAAGTGTCCACTCTTACCCCGTGAAATATACACCAGGTGGGAAACTTTCTCATTTACTGTTTTATGACTAATGTATTAAACCTAGGTCAAATATACACCAGTGCTGACCTTTTCCTTTAATCATGCTTAATTACACCTAAGGCTAGCTCCTGATGAGAGAGAGAAACACATATTTATCTTTTTTATTTAGTTGTAAGACATGAATATTTTATAACATTTTCACCAAGTATCACCTCATCTCTGTTTTTTTTTATTTATAGTGTGATACAGTGTGTGTGCTCAGTCATGTCAAACTCTTGTGATCCCATGGACTGTAGTCCGCCAGGCTCCTCTGTCCAAGGGATTTTCCAGGCAAGAATACTGGAGTGGGTTGCCATTTCCTCCTCCATAGGGACAACCAAAAACGCAACTAATAACACAACTGGTCTCACAAGCAGACTGAAGTGTCCACTCTTACCCCGTGAAATATACACCAGGTGGGAAAATTTCTCATTTACTGTTTTATGACTAATGTATTAAACCTAGGTCAAATATACACCGGTGCTGACCTTTTCCTTTAATCATGCTTAATTACACCTAAGGCTAGCTCCTGATGAGAGAAACATATTTATCTTTTTTATTTAGCTGTAAGACATGAATATTTTATAACATTTTCACCAAGTATCACCTCATCTCTGTTTTTTTTAATTTATAGTGTGATACAGTGTGTGTGCTCAGTCATGTCAAACTCTTATGACCCCATGGACTGTAGTCCGCCAGGCTCCTCTGTCCAAGGGATTTTCCAGGCAAGAATACTGGAGTGGGTTGCCATTTCCTCCTCCAGAGGATCTTCAGAGTAAGTCATAAATGTGTCTCCTTAGATTCACACACTGAAAGTTCCAGAATATTTGTGCAGCTTTGTAGGTTTCCACTCCCGTTGTCAGTTTGCACCAACTCCTTCTCATCACCGAGCCCCGGGGCCCTTCCCACAAAGCTGGTCCAACAGAGAGGCCAGCACCCAAAGGAAGTCCGTGGACATGCTGAGAGGTGGACACAAGCTGAGACTAGCAGGTACATGAGGAGGTTCCCCAGTTGTTTCCTAGATTCTGTCTTTGGGGATGATGGTGATAACAGAACATGGGGCCAGCGAAGT